AAAAAAAAAAAAAAAAAAAACCACAAAGTAATTTTCTTTTCGAGCTAGAAAAAAAAACAATTAATTTCTAATTATGAAATAAATTATTTGTTAGAAATACAAGAAAAGTAAATATATATATATATATATATATATATATATATATATATATATCTACACAACTCTCAGCAAATATTTGAAAATCTATAAAACATTTTCATTTTCTTTTCTAAAATCCTATTTTACTAGGATCAACTATGACACATTGATTACATTGTATTACTAAAATAGTTTGCTTTTGTCATACGTCAAAATCACAATTATTATCTGTGTAAGCAATATTTGTTATTCTTTTTTTTGTTTTTTGTTTTTTTTTTAAATGCTTCCTCTTATTGCATCTGCATAAAAATTTATACATATAACAAATTTTTCTTTTGTTTTGTTTTGGTACACGTGATATACGCATATACATCAAAAGCATCCGTGTATTTGTTATTATTAGAAACATTAGTTTTATTTAAAATGTGTTAATGGAAAACAGGATTATTTTTGTGTCTGTGTGTGTGGTATATACGCTACTAATAATTACTACATCACTATTATTATTATTATTATTTCTTGTTTGTTTTTTTTTTTTTTGTTGATTTTATTTTATTTCATTTTATATATTTTTTTGTTTGTTTGTTTTAAGTGTGAATTACAGAAATATTTTCAACCTCATAGAAATAATATACGTGAATTGTAATTACATGCGAAACTAATCTTTCAATTCACATGAATCATCATCATACTGTAATATATTTGGAAATGGTATTCCATTTGTTATTCCATATTACTTAATGTAAATTTATGCAATTCCTTAGAATCATTTCCTGTGGATTTTCCACAGTAAAATATTTCTGTGCATCATCTAAGAGCAAAGAACATTATTTGACTAAGTTGTTAGAAACAACCATGATGTATAAATATTACAATATTGTGTCTTCGCATAGCGAATTATATAAAATTTCATCTTTTGTGATATCGCAAAATGTATAAGCTGCTTATGATGGATTATGTAAAAAAAAAGGAATACAAAACACATAGAGAATAATTTGTTTGAATATTATTTTAATATAAAAACCAAACAAAATTTATTCAATTATTGGATATCTTTGAAAAAAAAAAAAAAATGTAATTAAAAGGTATTGCAAAAATGTTAATCCATAATTGGTAAACAGCTTATAACATTGGTGTTGTACTTATTTTAAATAATTTTATATACACATTCTACACATTGCTACATCACGATTAGAAATCTTTTTTTTTCCTATTATTTTCAAATCTTTTGATATGTGTACAATATAAGAGACAAATTTTTGCAATTGTATATATTAGACTAGATTTGTAATTGTTGCTATTTAAATCCTTGTCTAAATATTTTACTTAATAATAATAATAATAATAATAATAATAATAATAATAACAGACAATATTTTACATATTAGTATTTTAAATATTGACTTTTTCTCAGATTGTTAATAATTATATATTTTTCTCACGATATGTTTTTAAGTTAATGTTGTTACAAAAGTGTAAAAAAAAAAAAAAAAGAAAAGAAAGAAACCTGAATGAAGGATTTGCATGAAAGATTGTTAATACAATAATATAATTTTTATACGATCAATAGATTTGAAAATAATGTTTGTATCACGATGAAGCCATGTGTAGCATTTTGAAAATTTATAATTTCTCTTGTTGTTTATTTATTTATTTATTTTTTTTTTTATTTTTTTTAAACCTTTGCAATCGTAATAATATTTGTCCTATTATATTATAATTAATTTTAAATTCATTAATTTTCTCATATTACATTATAATAATGCGATATTCGCATAATACAATGTGTATGAATAATAAATGATCGATGAAATATTCATTTACAATTGCAAAGGATTAACGTGGTCCTACTTAAATCTAGATTTTCAATGACTATACCTATATATATATATATATACATACATTATTATAATATTATAACAAGTGTTAATACGAAGTGTAATATAATTTTTTGAAAATAACTATAACTTCTAGTAAGTTTTTTTCTTTTTTTTTGTTGTTGTGTCTTCTATTAGATTTAAAATTACAACGATGTTATGATACATACAATTTTGTTCTTTTTGCCATAACGTGTACCACGTACACATGCATTGCTGGCAAAAAAAAAACGATATAATTATTATATCTATACAATATTGTTTTCAATGTTCTTTTTCTTTAATACATTGAAAGACAATTATATATATATATATATATATATATATATATATACTTTGTTAATAACATATAAACTAGTTCTATATATATATATATATATATATATATAAGGTATGTGTGCACTGTGTATAATTGCAAAATTTTTGTCCCCCAATGCCATTTACCGAGCTCAAAAAGCGATGAAAAAACACATTTAAGAAAAATATCCAATCTATCTAAGGACTTAGATTGTTTTTAATTATTATTTACAATATGATTATGCGAAAGTTATATATATATATATGTGATATAATATAATGCATCGAGATATACAAAACTTTTGCATTTCAATGAATAGATAAATAGTCATTTTAAAATTCAAACATAAGTTTCAATATTTATCTTGAGATAAAGAACTCGGTAATAAGATTCTTAAAATTTATCATGAAATCATCGAGAAACAAAGATAAAATTCAATTTAAATATAATGATTTGATTGATTGAAGAAATAACAATTCAATTAGACAATTAATCAATTAGAAAATCAACACAATTTTGTGTAAGTATATATATATATTTGTTAGATTTTCTTTTTGTCTGACCAGCAGAAGATTTTAATAGAAAAAAAAAAAAAAAAGAGATCATGATGATGATGATGATGATAAAAATGATCATTTTTTTTTCTTTTCTTTTCTTTTTTCTTTTAACACGAACGTTCAACGTTTTACACAAATTGAAAAAAGAACGATTAAAAAAAAAAAAGAAAAAAGTAAAATTAGATAAATTTTTATCACCAACACTTTAATGATGATAATACACCAACCCTTTAAAGAATTTTAATATATATTTTTAGTGTAACTAGTGATAAATACTTTCTTTTTTTTTTTTTTTATTAAAAGAAGAACCAAAAAAAAAAAGAAAATATATATATATATATATATATATATTTGGAATTTTTTCTCGATAATAAAAGAATCTATCTAACCTGCATTCGTTTATACAAAATTTGAAAGATCATTGAAGTGCATTTATTGAATGATGGGGTTTAAGCGATGAGATCTTCGACGCTGATGGGATGCTCGGGTTACTGGATTGTCCTCCCCCACGCCACTGAGAATATCGGTTAGTCATCTGATAAATGCAGTTTTACAACTTTTTGTCGTGCGCGCACTGCAAGTCATAGAAATTGATGGGATCGGTTTGTTAGCCACCTCCACTGCTGCTATTTCATGCATAAGCGGTAAATTTATTTTGCATACATACCATATTAAGGCCTGGTCAAATGTATATAAGTATAATCCATCAAAGTAATGTACGTAAGGATATATTTCAAGTCCACAAGTCTATCGATTGCAAATGAACTGTAGATGATACATGAATATGACATTCATAAGTAATGTTGTAAAGTGCATACATTTTTATGCAACATAAATGTATATATATATATATATAGAATGAACATTGTACATAATTTTGATTATCAATAGAATCGTCCAAATTTGTCATTTGTCCAGACCCTTAAGTAATATCGTGAAACAAAAGCGTTATACTCCATATGCCAACATAAAAATGAAAACAATACACATACTGCAGGAAGCATTAATGTTTTGTGCATGTTGTATGTATGTATGTATGTATGTGTGTGTGTGTGTTCTATTGATTGATATCAATGATATATTTTGGATTATTGTAATTGTATAAAAAAAAAAAAATAACTTTTCTCTTTTCTTTTTATATTATATAAATAATTGTGCTAATAATTATAACAATAGACTTAGTTGAAAAATTAGACAAATGAATTTTATGATCTTTTATAATATAAAATAAATTTCTCAAATTTCTCGAGCCACTGTCATAATTATACAAATTGCATAAGGGTGATAGATAGCACATTAATACTGTATTATTATTGTAAAATACTTAAAAATATTATATGCATTTAGAAATATCATTTAACTTTGATCAATTATTTATTTACTTCGTTTGATTTAATTGTATAAATTGTTTATTTTATCATCTTTTTTTTTTTTTTTNATATTACTGAACAAGTTGAAGGTAATTATATAGATATTACTGAACAAGTTGAAGGTAATTATATAGATATTACTGAACAAATTGTAGATAATACTGTAAATACTACTGAAGTAATTGAAGATAATACTGTAAATATTACTGAAGTAATTGAAGATAATGCTGTAAATACTACTGAAGAAACTGAAGGTAATACTGTAATTATAAATGAAAAAATATTGGAACTAATATTATAATTATGTCTGAAAAATCTTAAATGAATACTGTAGCTGTTACTGAATATTCTCTAGTTATCTTTGAAAAAAGGTAAATTTAATATTAGAATTTCTCTTGCAGAAAATTATACAACTGATACACCTCGTGGAATTGAATCATCTTCTGCAACTGAAGAAAGTTCTTCAACCTATTCATCTTCTACAACTGAAGAATCTTCTGTTGTCGAAATAATTTCTGGAACAGAATCATCTTCTACAATTGAAGAACGTTTTATTATCGAAATAAATTCTACAACAGATTCATCTTCTACAAGTGGAGAATCTTCTATTATCGAAATGATTTCTACAATTGAACCAAATTTGGAAAATGAAATCGATGAGTTGACTGAAGGCCAAGTTGATAGAACCACATCAGACCAAGTTGATAGAACCACACCAGACCAAGTTGATAGAACCACACCAGACCAAGATGATAGAACCACACCAGACCAAGATGATAGAACCACACCAGACCAAATTGATAGAACCACACCAGACCAAGTTAATATAAAAACTAACTTATTTAATACTCTTGATAATATTATATATTATATGAACAACGAACTTTTTCATTTCTATTATTATAGGAAACAGCTGCAGTTAGTTTACCCGAAGGAGCAAAAAAAAGAATTGGTTATGGTATTAATATGCCACGTCTATTTAAGAATTATATTCCCGAATGTATAACAGAAAATCCTAATTGGTATGTAATAACAAGAGCATTCGTTATCCGAATGTTCTTTAAGTTAACATCTGTATAATCTTAATCAACATGACTAATAGAGCTATACTACATTTCAATAGGATGGAATTAATACCAAACTTTTCGAATCTACTACAAATACGTTCATCATCAGAGAATGAGACTAATGAAAGATCTAACAATGATACAGAAAATAGTAATACTTCTTCTACAATAAATAAAGTAAATGAAATAAAAGAAGAAAATCCAAATTCATCGCAAGCCACTGAAACATCTGATAGTAATGATAAACCAGTAGAGAAGATAACCGATAGTGATCTCGCAGCATCGTTATGTAAGTTATTGTAGTATTTGGTGATATAAAAATATAACACAATATTAATATAAGAAAATATTCGATTAGTTTAGAGATTTGTTTTTCATTTCAACTTTTTGTAGGTTCGTTGGAAGAGGAAAATAAAAATCTAAAAGAAGCTCGTACGTGTAAAGTTTGTATGGACAAGGAAATAGCCGTTGTATTTTTACCATGTGGTCATTTGGCAACATGTATTGATTGTGCTCCTTCTTTTGCATCTTGTCCGATATGTAGGAAAAATATATATTCTACTGTTCGTACATATTTTCCTTAAAGTTAACATTAAAAATAAACATACACATACATCTCTTATACGCTTATTTATTTAATAATAATAATAATAATAATAATCATTCATAGAATACTATATTAACTGAAATTATGTACGTACAGTATAATACTATTATGCAATTGATAATCAACTATTATTGTAAGTAAAAAAGTTAAACGTTTAATCGAAAAACAAATCTATTAATGTTAATAATTATTATAACAGATGCATATTATATATTTATGTAATGTTGACGACCTATTACTTATAGCACAAATTAACAAGACAAAACAACTTAATAAAAAAAAAGAATATATATATATATATATATATATATTTATACACACGAAAATTAAATCATATGTATAAAAAAAAACTATATAGAGTAAATTTAGAAAATATTAAAACTTATTGAAGCATGCGATACTAGAGAGATAAAATATTTTTTATAAATTAAAATTTATATCCATATATATATATATTGTTAATTTAAAAAAGCAATAAATTGACGAAAATAAAAATTTGTGATATTAAAAATAAATGATAACATTAAATTTAAACATTGCATTGTTAATTTGTAAATTTACAAAATAATTTCTTTTATATAATACTATTATTAATAATAATAATAATAATAATTATCATTATCATTGTTATTATACTACAGGATATTGGACCATAACTGGATTAGGAGGATTTGAAATTGGATCTTCTTTCCATGGGTTTTTGCTGACCATTGAGTTATGAATCCTAAACCTTCCGGTCCAACCTTTTCACAAATCCCTGTTTACATAGAATGTAAGTCTATTCTTCTCTTGGATAGCCGAGCTTTTCTTAGAAAAACATTTTTAAGAATGGATTTGTAAAACTGAATGGATTATTTCCTAAAACTTTTGACAAGAAAGTCAACGAAAACATAAATGACTTCTTAAGGATGATCCTGTAATTATAAACTTGCTCTTACATATGAATGATCTTGCAGATGATAAAAAGGGAAAGAAAGAGAGAGAAAGAGAGAGAGAGAGAGAGAGAGAAAGAGAGTAAAGCAAAAGTAAAGTAAAAAGATCGGAGTATCGGATCTGGCAACGTTGTAAACTGAATGTTATGGAGAAAGTATAGTATACTACCATAAATATTTTCTATTCTCTTTTCTCTTAATTCAACCTTTCATTAATAAAATCATAAAATCCCTCAATAAAAAAAAAAAAAAAACCATATAACGAAATAAAATAAAAAATGGTACGAAATTGTCGGTAACAATTGTCAAATATCAAATAGAAATTTCTAAGGGGAAAAGAAAAATGTTTAAAAAGGAAGAAGAAGGTAATAAAAGGAAGAAGAAGGTAAAAGAAAGATTGGAAGAAAAGAGACAAAAAAAAATATCAATGAAAAGAAAAAGCAGATGGTATGATTTCGATTTTTGTAGAAAGGTCTATAAGCACGAAGTGGAATTTCATCGGGTTCTTTGAAATAAACAGCGAACCCATCTAGCTGCAGCCATTGATGTTTAACACGCAGCTGCTTTCGTAACACAACACCCATATGGAATAAGGTTGAAGGTATATACATATATATATATATATATATAATACAAGTACATCGAGAATGGTTCTGTTAGGAATGTGGGTCTGATTGGTTGAAACATCCGGCTGCTGCCTTTCTTACTGATATCAGACATATTTTCCTTATTTTGATAGAAAGAAAAGATATTATTAACAAATCCGATGCTTAACAAAGAAAGAAAGGAAGAAAGAAAGATAAAAAGATTAAAAATTATTAAAAAAAAAAAAAAAAAACCAATGAGAGTAAGGTAAATGATAAAATAATAAAACATTGGCGTAATCTATAAATGGCCATGAAATAAGTGCGTCCATCTTTAATTTGAAGTCATGCGCCTATGCATCTATACTGGTCAATGAAATCGACCAAATGCCCTGGAAAGGACAGATTGTAAAGTATGAGTTATCTAAAAAAAAAAAAAACAACATGAAACAGAAAAAAAATGACTAGGTTACAAAGATTGTAGTATGTGTAATATTTATAAAGAGATAAAAGAAGTAGAGGAAAAGATAAAGTAAGACAGAGAGAGATAGAGATAGACAGAGAGAGAGGAAGAGAGAGAGAGAGAGAGAGAGCATGAAAAGTGGGGATAGGTGGAGCAAGCTTAACGTCCCCCACGTCCCTGTATCGTCCCTTATCCATTCTCGGTGTGGCTGTACTATACGTAACTTCCTCTTCAAGTAATTTTCCCTCGTTTCTGATATTAATGGTATGTTTTACTTATTCTTACTACATTATACTATATCTTTAGATTTCATTGATCAAATCTATATCCTACAAAGGAGTGTATGTGTGACTACGCGTTATCATTTTTGACCATTATTGGTTTGTAGTAAAAAGAAATAAAGAAAAAATAATGGGAGAAAGATAAAGACAGAGATAACCGAGGAAAAGAAAGAGAGAGAGAGAGAGATACGTATATCGTGTATACATATATATAAATAGAAAAAGAGAGAGAGAGAGAGAGAGAATGAGTGAGTGAGTGAGTGAGAGAGAGATAGAAGGAGAAGGAAAGAGAACGTGGCCGTTTTCGTAAAGTATCGACGCCTAGTCGACGGATTCTCAACTTTATATTAACAACGCTTTTGAAAACAACGCTCTTTAATAAACATATTTAAGTTTGAAATATTAAGAACAAGATTTCTATTGAATATTTCATTGATCAATAATGTGAATAAAGGAAGCTTGAGGATTCATAAAAAAAGATCTTCACGTATGTATTGCTTTTGTTTCTAATTTCATGACGACGACGACGCATACGACTTACGTTCTTTTCATGAGAATCGATCGTGTTTTACCTTCTTCTTCTTTATTTTCTTTCTTTAGATTCTTTGTGTTATATAATATTATATCAATTCTTTTTGTTGTTGTTGTTTATATTTGATATCAAATTTTATCCATAACATTTAATCTATTATTTTATTTTGCTATTCATAGATCCTGTTGGCAAGCGCGTCCCAAGAGATTTGCTTTCCTTTTTCTTTTTTTATCCTTTTTAAGTATTTTATTTACGTTCCATATGTTTCATTCATTTGCAAGAACATTGACAATTCTCGTTATTATCTTTATTTCAATTTTTCTCAATTAATTTTTCTAACTCTTTTGGTAAAATCAATTTTTTGTTTCTTTTTTTTGACTCACGGAGTTAATTGTTGTTTACCCGCCCTTTTTCAAATTCCAATTTTTCTTTGACATGTATTATTAATAATAATAATAATAATAATAATAAAATGAATTTATTTTACTAACAAATTACAACAACGCGTTTTAAACATTATTTCTTTTATTTTTGTTTTTATTTTGTTTTATTTTATCAATTACTATTTATAGAGAAATTGATTCAGTAATATTAAATTATTTTCTTTTTCTTTCTTTGTATATCCATTGATTCATTGTTTATATCTAGATAAGCATTCAGTAATCGATATTGGATCACGTGATTCGTTGTTGAATATCAGGTTTCCAAATGAATTTTTAACAATCTTAATTTAAAAATAAAAATACTATTCGATTGAATAACATTTGAACGATGATAAAATTTAATCGATAAGTAAAAGAAAAATAAAAAAAAAAAATAAAAAAGGCTGTAAACAATTTTTTGATGATTATAAAATCGACCTATGTCCCCCCATGTATATATATATATATATATATATATATATATATATATATATCCAAATAAAAAGTTTGACTAAAAGAATACAAAACAAAGGTTGTGATTTGATTAGTTTAAAAAAATATTACTTATTTTGTTATTATTTTTAATTTAAAGAAAAAATTTCAATGAAAAAGGAAAAGAAGATAATTTCTATGTGTCATATTAGAAAAATTTCACAGACCACACACGAACATTTTAAAGATCGATCATTGATAAATTGAATGAATTTAAAGTGACAGAAAAGTAGTACTTTATAGTAGTAGTTCATTCAAAAAAGATGAAAAGAAAAAAAAAAAGGAAAAATGGAAAAGATAGTAAAGATGGAAAAAAGGGTACACTCAGGTAGTTGTTGGGTCATAGAGAAAATATTTAAAGAGGCGGAATGATGACGGTGTAGGGCCACCATCACTATCTTTCTCTCTCTCTCTCTCTCTCTCTCTCATGTTGTCTCACAGTTCTTTAACTAACTTCCGTTGCACTCCCACACTTGAAGCAATGTTGCCGTATGTTCAACAAAATAATCATGAATGGAAGGGGAGTGACAGAGATAGTAGACAGAGAACGTAACGAAAGACCGAACGAAAGACCGAACGAAAGACCGAACGAAAGACCGAACGAACGAAACAACCATGGAAAAATTTCAAAGGAACATCAATTTTATTTCCTTTTTTATTACTATCCCTTTTTTTTTTTATTATTATCCCTTTTTTTATTATTATTATCCCTATGTTTTTATTATTATCCCCCTTTTTTTTTTTTATTACTATCCCTTTTTTTTTTCTTTTGTATAACAACACAATGGCCTTTGTAATATACAATGGAGAGGAGTACAGTTTTTTCTTTTTTATTTTTTTATTTTTTTATTTTTCTTTCGTTGTGTGGTCCTATAATTTCAAAAGTTCCTTAGAATTTTTCAATCAAAGAGAAATCTCTCCAAGTTTATCTAAATATCTCTCTTTTTTTTTTTCTTCTTCTTCTAGATAAAACTACGATTATTTTGAAATTATTATTTTATTTTTTTATTGATATTGCTCTGCTCCTTATCTCTATATAAATTAAATTTGATACTCGTTCTTTTTCTTTTTTTTTTTCCTGTATCACTTTTCACGAATAAAATAACAATTTCCTGTGCAATAAAATGTTGTGTTGTGTTGTGTTATTATCCATGTGTATATATAAAAAAGTATAACGTCATTTCTCTTTCTCGCTCGTACACTCACTCCATTCTGTTTATAATATCCTGTCCTTAGTTTTTATCTCACCACACAGGAATTTACGACACCCAGCAAGAAAGAGAGAGAGAGAGAGAGAGAGAGAAAAGAATATTTCAACTTGAGTCACGACTGAATATTTCTCTCTTTAAAACTCTTCACAAATGAACTTTGCACTAAA